CACTATACAATAATAGGAGGGTAGGTAGTTAGGTAGGAGGTAAGACTAGTTACGTCATACTCTCTCTCTCTCTCTCTCTCTCTCTCTCTCGGGAAGTTGGCTCTCTTATGCTAAGTAAAAGACGAAAAGTTGATGTTTTATGACGAAAAGTTGATCTTTTATTCTCCTCTATCTTCCTGCTTATTCATCTGCAACTTTCTCTCCAATGAATCCAAGAACATAACAATGGAGAAAGGCATCAGCAAAATATTGTCGCGCTTGTGTTATGTGTGTACCTCCAATAACAGCTCAAGTTGTTGCAAAATGGTTCTAGAGAACACATTTTATACTATCTTTGGTTTATTCCTTGTTATTCTTTATGCTTAGGCCTTAGGATAAAACAAGAAAAGGAGGAAGTGTTGGTTGGGCTACATATATTGTGTAGATTTGGAGGGACACATAGATTTTGCTTCATTTTCTTAGCAATATAAGAGCTATTTTGTTGAACATCGCCTTTTTGCCTCATCTTCAAGTAGTAACCTTCTTCATAATTGATCTGACGGTTCCAACTTTCACAATCTGATTTTCTTATCTATAGAAATACAGATTGACAATACAATTTTCTTCAGCCAAGCCATTCAAATTTGTAAGAGTATAATTTCTCTGAATGCTTGGTCCCAAATCAAAAAAGTCAACCACATGATAGCATGCCTGATTTAGAAAGGTGAAGAAAGTCAAAACAAGAACAGCAAATTGGAAACCATAATTTTCAAATGGAATTGAATGCTTCCATCACAAACCCATGAGGAGATCAAACCTGATTCATGAAGCATTCACCAATTGTGAAGAGAGAGAGAGAGTACCTGAAAACTTAAGAGGTTCTCTTTTGAGTGAAGGCGATTCCCCTACCACCTTCGTTCCTAGGTGTGCCATGCCTTGTTGCAGAGTAGCCCTGTGTTTTGCCGAAAAATACAAATAGATTTAGGCGTCAATTGGTTCAAAATTTTTGCAATCTATCAAAATTTTCAAGTTGTAATATACTTATTTGTAGCTTGAAGAATTCTCATAGATATCGGGGTTGTTTGATTGCTTTGCTAAACTGCAATTGATTAATGTTTAAATTAAACTGTCTAAACTCTCTGTTTGATTATCTATTTCAAATTGACCCTACCAACACAAAAACCAGAGAGAAGAGAACAGCGCACAGAGCGCAGCAACAATGGGCACATGGGACTTCCATAATTGCCATAGAATCTAAACCTGACCCATGTCGTACACAACCATGAGAGTCGAACCCATCGCCGAAAAAGTTCTCACAATATTTGACTCAGCCACGCAGAGTACTCTAATGGCAATGGACACAAACACAACACTTTCATCATCTCTCACCTCTCTCCTCACAAAAATGGAGGAAGAGAACTGCCCCATATCCGAAGACACCTTCCCCTCCATTTGTCCAGGCTTCTTGATTCTTCTTTTTTAATAATTGTTCAGGGTATGGTTGAGCAACAAACCATTAGAGGACCTTAAGAACCATTCGCTTAATGGAACTTCAAATGTAACTTAACATTCAGAATAACAAAAGAAAAAAAATGTAACTTTCAATTATAAACCAACCCAAAAATACATTCTGTATCAAAGAATTGAACAAAACTTGTCCGCACATTCTGTCAAGTGAAAGAAATGGGTATCCCATTCTCTCTCAAGTTTTCATCAACATATTGCTTTAGGCTCTCTGCAAATCCAAAAAAGAAAGAACTATTGATTCAATGCAAAAAGCCATAGAGTTTTCATTTTCAAGAAAATGGCCAAGAAGTTGGTTTGGAACATGGTAGGGTTTCAGAAATCAATTTAAGAACGAAGAGATTTGTAGAGTAATGGAGTGAGAGAGCGGAGAGAGATAGAGCAAGCTTCTTTAAGTTTGGTGAGCTTCAGAGAGAGAGAGAGTTGCAGCGGGGCACCTTTAAGAGAAGAAAGTTGCAGCGGGGCACCTGAGAGAGAGAGAGAGAGAGAGGAGGATTTGCGTAGGGTTGGGAACGTAAAGAGTGCACCTACTTCCTCGAGAGTGAGAGTGAGAATGAGAGTGAGAGAGAGAGAGAGAGAGAGAGAGGGGAGCTCTTTGGGCTGGCCGGAGAGAGAGAGGAACGAAGTCGAGACGTTTTGCAAAGCGGGCGAGTTCCGTTTTGAGAGCAGGCCAAATTGTGAGTTGGGAAGCGCTAGCCTAGCATATCCATCAAGCGCAAAAGCTCGAAGCAATGAAGCGAATAGCTTCGACCGATTTTATTTTAATTTAGTACATATAAATTAGATATTTATGTATAAAATATGAGTAATGATCCTATGGTACCCTAACATACTTATAAGCATGGAACCTCTACGGATCATTGTAGTATTTGGATTCAGATATCGAGATAGATAAATTTTGAATCCCTGGCCTTTTTTTCATTAAAAAAATATTTTCTCTCTCTCGTACTCCTTCCCTCTAAAACCTTACTTTCTAGCAGTGTTTTAAAACACGGCGATCCCATGGTACCCTAACATACTTACAAGCATGGAACCTCTACGGATCATTGTAGTATTTGGATTCAGATATTGAGATAAATTTTGAATCCCTGGCCTTTTTTTCATTAAAAAAATATTCTCTCTCTCTCGTACTCCTTCCCTCTTTAACCTTACTTTCTACTTTTCTAGTTTTGTTCTCTCTCACCTTTGTCTCTGTACCCGTACTCTCTTCCTCCTGCAAGATCTCTGTACCATTTGCTTCTCTCTTCCTCCCTTTCTCTCCCCCTCCACTCTCTCTTTTCCTCTTCTAATAACCCATCAAGCCCTCCACGAAAAACTCCCTTCTCATTTTCTTCCTCGAAATTAGCCACAAATAAAAGCAGATTCCTTTCAAGAATGGGTTTTAAATCCCTAATGCTTTTTCATTAAAAGAATATTTTAAAATTTAAAACCTCTTTTCTCTCTCACAGGCTCTCTCTCAGGGCCATTGCTATGCTATCCAACCCACCCCTCTCCCTCTCATTTCACATCCACTATTACTCCCAAATTCACCGGACAGTGGACACGCGAATGGTGGGGAGGTTGCGGAGACGGGATAGATTTTTTGAGTGAAACCCATAGGCATTTTCTCCGTTTTTGTTGTAGTGAGATGATGGAGTATTGGATTTTAGAAAAAGAAAAAGGCGTGTGCTTTGCTTGGAGCCACTGAAGTCAGCCATCACAACTGTTGGGGTTTGTTTTGCTTGGAGCTTCAAAGAGATTATGATACTCTCTCTCTCTCTC